AGAGAGCAGAGTGAGAGAGAGAAGAGAGAAGAGAGAGAGAGAGAGAGAGAGAGAGAGAGAGAGATACAGAGACAGAGAGAGACAGATATAGAGACAGAGAGACAGACAGAAACAGAGAGACATAAAAACAGAGAGACAGACAAACAACGACAGGCAAACAGACAAGACAGAGAGACAGACAAGAAAAAGAGAGACAAACAAACAGAGAAAACAAACAAACAAACAAAGACAAGCAAACACCCCCCCAAAAAAAAAAAAAAAAAAAAAAATGGACCCCCAAAGCCAACTCTCCCCACCCCCTCCCTCCCCCCTCAACACTCTTAACCCCCTAACCATCCACCACCCCCCCCCTCCTCCCTCCCCCCCATCAACACCCCTTAACCATCCATCTTCCTTTCTTCCTGCAGGAGTAACTGCGACTCCTCCGCCGCGAACATCCTCCGGGACCACTACGAGAGGCCCTACTTCCTCCCTCAGGCCGCCGAATCCTCCAAGACGGATTGGATCTTCATGGGCACTCCGGGATACGGCGCCCATATGCATGTGAGTGTTTACAGCGGGCGTGGCGAGGGTGGTGGGTGTGTGTGTGGGGGGTGTGGTGGGCGGTGCTGGGGGTGGCGTGTTGTGTGGGTTGGGGGGTTTGTGCGTGGCGGTGTTTTTCTTTTTTTGGTTTTTTCCCCAGTGTTTTTGTTTATGTTTGTTTGTTTGGTTTCCCGGGTGTTTGTTGATTTGTGTTTTACAGGCGGCGGTCGGAAGGGGCGCTGTGTGTGGTGTGGGTAGGGGGGGGGGTTGGGGGGCGTTTGTGGTGCGGTTGTTTTCTTTTTTGGTTTTGTTTTTTGGGTGTTGTACTTGTTTGGTTTGTTTGGTTTTCGGTTTTGTGAATTTGGTGTTTACAGGCCCCCGCGTGTTTGCCAGGGAGTGCTGTGTGCTTGTTGTGTGTGGGGGGGGGGTTGTGGTGGATGTGGTGTGTGTGGGGGGGTGGGGGTTGTGGTGGGGGTGTTTTTCTTTTTGGGTTTTTGTTTTTAATTGGTGTTTTGTACTGTTTTGCTTTGTTTGGGTTTTTCGGGTGTTTGTGAGCTGTTTTACAGGGGGCGGGTGGGGGAAAACGCTGTGTGATGTGCTTAGTGTGTGGCGGGGGGGGGGTTGTTGTGCGGATGCTGGTGTCGTTGGGGGGGGCATGTTACCTTGTTCGCTCTCTGTGGCTATGGTTGGGTTGCGGGCTTTGTGCACGCTGGGATGGTTCCTTTTTGTTTTGCTTTCTTCGTGCCCCTGCACCTAGTGTTTTTTGTTTTCGGCCGTGTTTGTGATTGGTCGCTGACCGTCGTTACTAGGCTGGCGAGCCGCCGTGGCGACAAAAAGAACCACTGCTGTGTGTGTGAATGTGCAGGGGGGTTGTCGGTGGAGTGCGGGATGTGTGTGTGGGGCGCGTTGTGGGTTGATGTTTTCTTTTGGTTGGTTTGTATAGGGTGGTTGTTACTGTTTGTTTTTTTCAGGCGGTTTGTGATTTGTGTTTGTGGACATGGTTTTTTTTTTTTTTTTTGGTTTTTTTTTTTTTTTTAACTCGATTTCTATGTCTTATTTTTATGTGGGCCTTAGATGTATATTAGATCTCTCTCTCCCCTTTCTCTTTCCTTTTTTCTTTTTTCTATTTCTTTTTTCTTTTTCGCTTTCTCTTCCTCCTCCTCTCTCTCTCTTCAATCTATTCTAATCTATCTATTTCTCTCCCACTCTCTGCTCCTTTCTCTCTGTCTCCTGTCTCTGTCCTGTCCCTCTCTCTCTCTCTCTCTATCTCTCTCTCTAATCTTTCTCTCTCTCTCTCCTCTCTCTCTCTCTCTCTCATCTCTCTCTCTCTCTCTCTCTCTCTCTTCTCTCTCTCTTCTCTCTCCTCTCCTCTCCTCTCTCTCCGCTCCTCTCTCCTCCCTCTCTCTTCTCATCCCTCTCTTTCTCTCTCTCCTTTCTCTCCTCAGTCACTCTCCCATTCTTTCCCCCAAAAAAAAAAAAAAAAAAACAACAACAACACAAACAACAACAAAAAAAACAATAATGAAACAAATTTCCAAACATGGGCTAAACACCATTATGTCGTAAATAAGCGTAATTAACTTTTCTAATTTACAGGGTAACAAAAAGACGAATTGAAAGTAATTACCGTATGAAAATATGCATATTGATAGAATATTACCCTATCGCTCCCTTATATTATTGTTTATTATCATTGTTATCATCCATCATCATTATTATTATTTATATCTATTATTATTATTATTATCAATTATTTTACTTATTATATTTTATTATTTATTATTATTATATTATTATTATATTATTATATATTATTTATATTTTATTATTATTATTATTCATATCATTATTGGTGCTATTTTTCATTAATTTATTATTACTATTATTATTATTGTCATATTACAATTTATTCAATATATAATATATTTTTTTTTTCCCCATACGTCTTTTATATAAAAATTTAATTTTTAGATAGACC